TCCCCTGCTGATCCAGGGCTCTGCTGCACCCTGCTTGTTTCCACCTACACTTCTGTTCTCCATCACACTCACTCTTGGGTGACTTTATGCTCTTGGCAGAACCTGCTTACATCTTCTGGTGCCCCTCCGAGCAAGGATGTTTGGACAGGGGAAGCTTGAGGAGACTTTGTAGATTTGAAAGTCTTTCTTATACAGAAGTTTGAATTTTCTCTCCAAATTGGGAAGTCTTCCTGGGCAGGACCCTGGTCTGTAGCAAGGTCCTCCCAACTTCAGGTGCTTAGAAGGCTTTGCCCTGTCTCCATCAATCTGAAATCCTAATTCTGTTCCATAGGTGGCATCCTGTTGGGATCCACGGGCTTCCCGATAGACGTTGGAGAAGCACTTTCCCTCACACAATGGACACTGGGGATGGGGCCCAAGGCTTGACACTGTTTCCCATGTCTTTACATCTTTTCCTTGTGCTTTGTCCAGAGCACTTGTCATTGGGCCTGTGGGACGGGTTCCTCTGACGCCAAGATTTGGTGTCTTTTTCTTTCTCCCGTCTCTGTTTTTGCTTTCTTTTCTAGGTCAGAACTTTTGAGTCTGTAATTATGCTCTGTTTGTAATCTAGCTACAGCTTGACTAGTTCAAAATGCATGCTCTTGATGTGTGCAATCAGTCAATGATCCACACATGTAGCAGTTGAGGGATTGATTGGCCGCAGCCTCCTGAGACATTTCCTTCCACCTTCCGTCTCAGAAGCCTCTCCCAGCTAGCACTCCTCCCTGCCCTCCTCCCTGTGTCTACCTACCGCTGAGTCCTCACCTATGGGCTTGCTTATTATGGACAGTTCAGTTACATGACTGGGATTAGTATGTAGGGTCTGTTGTGGGTGTGTGGGTGTTGCATCCAACACAAAGTTCTAACGGTTCATGTGGTAGTTGTATGGCTGATTGCTTTGCCTTGTCAGTGTTGGGTTGCTCAACCATCTTAATGGGCCTTAAGCTTATGTTTCTGTTTGTAGCGGGAGCAGTGCGTGCTCCTGGAAATATTACTATGAACTTGCCATGGCATATGTTTTCTGTTCTGAGTGTGGGCCCAGGAATGTCATGGTGCTTAGTTCCCTGGCATCAACTGTGATGGGGGCTAGTTTCCTACAGTCTCACCAGCACAGGCTGTTCTCTGCTTTAGGTGTTCTAGTGCCTGATTTTCCGGTTGTTCTCAGAGTCCCTTTAACTGTCACATGGATTCTCCGGTGTGCCATCATTTATGTCATTGTGTTTGTGCTGTTGAGGGCTTTTTTTTTTTTTTTTTTTTTTTTTTTGTCAGCTTTTGTTGTTTACGTCAAGTCTGGCCCGGGTCTCCCATTTTCCATTCATTGTACCTTAGGTTTGGAAATCTTCAGTGGTTCATTAAGAGCTGGGGGTGGGTATGCTGGCTGCAAACTGAGTGTTCAGGGCCTGCTGGGCTGTTGTGTGGGGGTATAGCTCACCTACTCACTGATGGAGGAATAGCCAGCTCCAGCACTTGGATCTTACCTCTGACCTCCCTGGAAGACAGAGAACGAGTGGACACCATTTTCAGATTAATTTGCTCAGGTTTTGTCACCCCATGTTGGGTCAGCATGGGTCAGCACTAGAGCACGTGTGTGTCGAGTAGACACCTTGGGAAGATGGCAGAGGACCACTTCCCCTCACAGAGTGGGAGACTGGAGCTGGCCTCCAAGGCTTGGCAGGAAGCTTGCAGCTGCTTCTTGCTTGAGCTGCATCCTCCTTTACCTCCAGAAGAAACTCAGCATGGCGCTGCCTGCGCAGACCACTGCACAGTGTGCCTGGACCACCCACTTCCTTGTCTCACCCCGACTCTGGGCTTACACAGCTTGCACTCTGCCTTCTTGTGTCTGTCTGTGTCTCAACCTCGGTCTGTGCTCTGTGTAGAGACAGTGGTTCCCGCATGGTTTTAGGTGCTTTCAACTGAGCAGTGCAAACTCTGGCTGCTACTCTTTCCTGGCCAGTGAGTCTGAGTTAGAGCTCACTGGTTTTTTGTTTGTTTTTTGTTTTGTTTTGTTTTTTTCCTGATCCATGTTATTTAACCTGATTGCATCTACAGAGAACTTTCCAGGTAAGGTTATTCTGAGGTAGGGTAGTAGTGGGAGGTTAGCCTAGAACTTGAGCATACCATTGAGGAGAGGAGAGTGTTTCAGTCATTGACACTGAGCAGACTGCTTTTCACAGCTCACGTGGGTGGAAAAGAATGATGAGTTTTGGAGTCATTTTTAACACTGCTAGGAATAGTGGACATAGTGCAGAAAACAGTACCGCTTAAAGAGTAGAGTGACAGGGAAGCTGAAGTGGGGTGGGGGTGGGGTGTGAACCCAACATGGTATTTAACAAGAGTTGTCATTGCTTGCAGTTGTCTTCATCTCTGGAATTAAGGTTGCCTCAGCAGTAGAAGTATATTGTTGAAATCTACTACCGATAACAGAAAGAACCAACATATTTAAATAAATGCTAAATGTATCTCATGAGGGGCACTTTTACTATGGACAGAAGTCTCAGTGCATGATTGAAGGAGGCTGCACTTACCTTGTTCTGATTGAAGCCTGGGGTGCCTGTGACCATGCCTGTTCTAAACATCACTGCAGGAAGACAAGAGCAAAGGAGATAAGCATAGTAGCAGAAGGGTAACACTGTCATGGGACCTCTGGATAATACACTTGGGCACACAGAATGTCCAAGAGAATCTGTAGGCCCGTTGCCAATGGAATTTTCTTTGTCCATTGTGTCTTGCAAACTTTTACATCTATTTGTAAGTGACCCTGTAAAATGAACAGGTTTGTTGCAGTCAACAAATACTAATTAGTTAACTTCCTTCACACATACAATACCCATTTGAGGAACAATGAAGATGGTATTCATGCAGGACATAGAAACTGATGTAATTTTAGGAAAGCATCTAAGACGAGCTCTTATATAGCAGTAACCAGCCATAGAGTTAGAGCTGGAAGCATGCCCCTTATATCCCTGCAGTGCTTGTGTTTGAGTTTGGGACAGGTAAATATTTGCCATCTGAATTCTCTTGATACCATGAAAGTGGTGCATGGTCCTCATCTGAGCTCATGTCCTCCTGCTAATGCACTCCCCTTCTTGGAATTGGGGAGCCAGGTTTGCTTATGTTAGAGATTCTTTGGCTTCTTGTGTGTTCTGACTGCATCAAGGTTATTGTGTTGGTGCTAGGTGCATGGTGTTCAGTGCCTACAGACATGTGAGATGTCTCTGCTGTGGGTGCATCAAGCTTCCGTGTGCTTTCCTGTGCTTTGACGGTCTTCAGGGGTCACCCTGATAGAGGTAAACCACTACACATAACTGGTAGTCTATGTACAGAGTATGTAGTGTATATGAAAGGTTTAAGTGTTGGCAGCTGAATGTGCTGGTGTTACTAAAGAGTTCATCTGCCACCTTTTGATGTAAGTTCGGGGAGTTTGCATGAATAAAAATAAATCCTAGAAGAGGCACAAACATAAATAGGAAAAAAAGAGTATGTAAATGCTAGATAGTATAAGATAATTCTCATTTTTATATAGGAATGACCCTGCTAATTTTTTTTTTTTTTTCTGGGAACAAAGCCTTAGTATATACGCAGACATATCAGCTGTGTCAGTGTTTAGACACCTCTGGTTGCTGTGTGAGTGTCCTTGAGTGGTTATTTACCAAGAATGCATATGTGCACATGTGGTGAGAAGTTACTGTACTGCCTGTCAAATACTGTGGCTTACAATGCATGGGCAGCACCGAGCAAGTGTCAGGCTGTTAAGGAAAAAAAAAATTCTCAGAAGTGACTGAGAATTCTCATCATGGCTGAGGGTTAGGGAGGGCCTGGGGAGATGGCTGAGCCAGAAATGGTGCTTTCCACCCAAGCCTAGCAAACTGGATTCCACCCATCGAGCCAACTCCACAAAGCTGTCCTCTGACCTCCACACGTGTGCCACAGACACCATCTGCACACATGCAAAGATGCTGTCCACAGGTGCATGCACAGACACACAAATAAATTAATAAATAAATGCTATTGGAAATGTCTATAAGGCTATCCAAGATCACAGCTGTGGAGAAGCCAGGAGGTCCATTGTTTGCTGTTAGGAAAGACCAAGCAGGACCAAGTGTCCTTCAGAAGAGAACTGGGACATTGAGCCCCCTGGGAAAGGTGACAAAAAGCTAAGTTGTATGGAGATTGCAGAGGACCTGAATTTTTCACTGCATCAGTGCTAGCCAGGGTTTGTGACTGTTTTAGTTGGGATGTACATGTGGCTACAAAGATAATATAGACACTCTCAGTAGAGAGTACTGTCTTCTCCAAAGCCTCTGGATTGATGTGAGGGTGACTGTTGAGGCAGAAGAGCTGGGTGTAGCTCTTAGTGTGAACCTGTCTGTATTAGGGGTGGGAAATCTACTGTGGTGTGTTTAAGACGTGCTGTTACTCTTGGAGTTTTTACTGATTGGAAAATTGACATTTAAAGAAGCCAGCTAAAGAAAAGAAAAAAAATCTGTGTTGTAGTAGTTGGGAATCTCTGGGTAGTGTAACTAATAACACTGTGATCTTTAGTTTCCTAACAGGATTTGGAGCCAGGTTGGGATTGGTCCCTGCAGTGTAACACATCCTCACAAAATGACATTTTAACTTAATCTTGATCCCACTATAATATTTTATCTCTGTTATGTTATCTCAGTTTTTGTTATTTTACTATATTTTTTTTTTTTCTGGCAGTTTCTATGTTTCTGCTAAGTTAGTAGGCAGCCAATAACTTGTTACTGCTCTCTGGCTTTAGTGTGAAGGGACCTTGCAGTTTTCACGGAGGGTAAGGGCAGAGTTTGCAGAGGAGTCCTGTATTACAGAAGAGAATTGCCCATTTCTGTTTGTGTAGTGCTGTAAACAACTTGCTTATATGTGCATGTTGTAGGACAGTTATACATAATGAAATGCCATAGCAATATAAATAGCTGACCATGACTTTTTTCTTTCAGAACTTAAATGAATATGTTGAAGCATTAATTGCCTTGAAGCAAAAAATTATTAATACAGAGTAAGTATATTTGCATTTTGAAAGACCTTTGCCAGTCTGTGCAACGGGCTGAAGTGGGTGGTGGTTTGGAACCTCACAGTGGACACAATGGCGCTGGGTAGAACCACTGAGCCTTTTGTTTACTGACTCACAGGCTTTTAGTAGAATGTTATCTTTGCCAGATTAGATTTAAAAAACTGTTTCTCTCTAAAGGTGTTTTGTGTGCTGGGTTCACACTATGGTATGCTACATAATGAGATTTCATTATTTTTAATATCCCTTGATACTCTCGTGTTTCAGAGAAGCTCATAACACTTGGGTTACGCATTGAGGAATTGAGGTGATGTCAGCCTAGCATGCTTTGTTTCTGGAGACCAAAGTAGAGAGGCCAGCTAGAACGAACGGTCTGAGCCATAGCTTTCTGTGGTGTTCTTTTCTGTGGTGTTCTTGCCCAGTGACACAGGCACCTAACCACTCTCTTCTCTTTCACAGCAACCTGCTGACAGAATACCAGAAGAAATGCGATGATATCCTTCACTTGTTTTTCCCATTTAGACATCAGTACTTATGTATGATAACTCAAAATAGGAAGGAGGGCCCTCCTTTTTAATCTTGAAAAAGCAGTGTCTGTTAGCTTAAGGGGAGCTTCTCTTTAAAGCATGGGTCTCTTAGTGCAGTAGCAATGGCCATGTACAGGGGGAATCCCAAAATGAGATCGCCTAGCATCTCTCTTGTTTCTATTGCTCGTTTGGATGGTCTTAGGGTCTTCAGCTTTTTAGTGAGTGGATTTCCCTCCTGCATAGTGGTGTGACGTGACATCACAGGGGTGGATGCATCGTTGCAGCTGCAACAGTGCTTGCTGATGAATGTCTTTGAATCTTTTAAAAACCAACCATACACAAATCATACAAGTAATGCAGTTGTATGTTTGTAAGACAGTGCTCAGTTTAGATTCACCGCTGAGTAAGCGCTTCAGTGTAGTTAAAGTGGTCAGATGTTTGTGGTAGCATGAGGAAACTGGCCCTACCACATCTTTTAGTGACACCCACCTTGGGTGACATCTCCTTCAGAAGAACAGAACATTTCCCCGCCCCCCCCCCAAAAAAAAGTCAGCGTGTGTAGACCCATGGAGATTGGTGGAGAGCTGGGTTCTCCTTCAGTGCTGGGGCAGATCCTGGGTGCATGGTCTCTGCAGTACCGTGAGCCATTTAGCTGATTGTGGCACCTGAGCCTGTGGGATCACAGCTCACTTGAGCATCTGTTGTGAAATCCGTGTCGGAGTGACTTCAGATGCTGACTGTCACATTGAACTCTACAGGTCACTGGACATTCCTGCAGGTGACTTATCTGCTGAAATGTAAAGTACAACAGGAGCAGAGGAGAAATGGTATCTGCAGTTGACTGTAGGTGCTGTGCAGCAACAGTTGTCACAACTGTTGATAGAGAAGTAGTAGCAGATGGGATGGTCAGTGTTGGAACAGCAGTGATCACAGCACTCTAGAGAAGGGCTGTGAGCTTTTTGGTCATTACATTTGCAGTCTCATGATAGAGTGGGTAGTGTAATGTTCTAAAATTTTCCTATCAAAATGTAGATAAAAAAAATTCTATTTCTTAAAAAGTTATTAGTTAGGTGTCCGTGTGTGGGTGTGCCCACATGAGTGCAGCACCTACGCTGGCCATCTGATGTAGTTGCGGGTGCTGCTGGGGTCTGACTTGAAATTCCGGAAGAGCAGTATGTCTATTAGTAACCACCCAGCCATGTCTCCAACCCAGACAGGGCCTTTACGTAGATAAAACTTGCAGTTATGTTTTTGAGATACAGAGATTTGGCTTCAGCCACAGAAACTGATTTTAAACACACCCTTGTCATTATCTGCAAACATCTACTTGTTACACCTCAGAAGTATAGCTGTCTTACCCCTGGGGCGCCAGTGTCTGGGCTTCGTGTAGCTTCTTCCTGATTGGATCACTTGTAACACCTCTGCTGAAAGCCTAGAGCATCTCCTTATGAGGTCACTACAGCCATGAGACTGAGGAGGATGGATGTGCACTTCTTGACTCTGAGAAGAAGTGTAGTCCCACATGGCTGTGGAAACCTAATGTCTCTGTTGGACTTTTGGAGAAACGGAGGAGGGTTTGGACGTTCTGTTGTAAATAAAAGTATTTTCCCTCAGTTATATCAGTCTTGTAGTTCTAATCAGTTGATTAGTAGAGAAATAGATGTTTTGGCTTGGGTTCTGTCTTAATCACTGTGCTGTGAAAAAACACCATGACCAAAGCAGCTCTTACAAAAGAAAACATTTAATTGGGTGTTGCTTTCAGTTTCTGCGGTCCATTCTATTGATATCATGGTGGGAAGTGCGGTGGCGTGCAGGCAGGTGCTAGAGCAGCAGCTGAGAGCTACATCCTGATCTGTTGGTAGAGAGTGGTCAGGGGGAGAGATGCTGGGCCTACTGTGAGCTTCTTAAACCCGCCAAGCCCACCCCCAGTGACACACTTCCTCCACAAAGCAATACCTATTCCAGCAAGGCCACGCCTCCTAATCCTCAAATAGTGCCTCTCCCAGGAGACTAAACTAAGCATTCATATTTATGAGCCTGAGGAGGGCATTCTGATTTAAACCACGACAGAGTCATATAGTGGTAAGTAGGGATAAAGTAGGCTCACCACTGTTAGAGATGGATGTGTGCAAATTGTGTACCGTTGTGGTCCGTCCAGCCTAGGTGCACATGATTACAACAGAATTTATCTTCAGACAAATATCATCGGAAGATAAAGGTTCAAGTTTTCTTTAACAAGTTTTACAGCTGCAGTTTGCAAGAAGGTGAGCTTCCGACTTCCTATCTGTTGATAACACCGGAATTTTTGTGTGGAGGTGGATATATGGCAGGCCAGAGCCTAGGTGACCTGCCTCGGATTAAAATGCTTCAGATGTTCCCCTTACAAGCAGATTAGCATTGTCCCATTAAATGCCTCAAATGTATCAATTGCATTGGTTTCAAATTAAACCTTCTGGTTTGCTCCAGTAACTGTTGACCACACTGTGAGCTGAAATTCTATTACTTTTGCCCACACAATTACACTGTTCAGTGCCATTTATCTTGTGTTGTTTGTAACAAAATAAAGCCACTAAAACTGTAATGATATTTTATGCTCCTACTATAATTATAACTTAGAAGTCAGCATGAGGGTATAAATCAGATTGTATTTGGATTACGGTTATCACTTAGAAGTCAACGTGAAGTTATAAATGAGGTACAGATGGCATCACTGTAGCACTTAATTGGAACAAATAGGGGAAGATGAGGATCTGAACATCGGACATCCTAGATGTTTGGCAGACTATCCTCAAGACAGCTTCTCCAGTATATAGAAGTCTATTGGGCTAGTTTCTGATGTTGCTTTTTAGTAGTTTCATTAAAAAGTTTGTTACGCTTAAAAGATACAAAGCAGTCTGATTGTTAGCATGAGTGGGAAGAATCATTTAGAATTAATAGCGCACTCCAGCTGTTTGTGCTCAGTGATGCTGATGCCTTGTCCTTGTCTGTTTTCAGAGAGAACAGCATGCTGCATCACCAAGTGGAACAGATGCTTCAGAAAATCTCCCCTCTACAGAAATGCCAAGAGGAGCTGGGGTCCTTGAAAGCAGAGCTGGAGGAGAAAAAGGTGCCCAGAGCCGCTTTCCTGTAGGGGGTCACTGCCATTGTCAGGATTAACTTTGCTTTTGCTAGAGCCACTTTCCAATAGAGGGTCACTGTCAGTATCAGAATTAATTCATGCACTTGATCCGCTTTCCTGTAGAGGGTCACTGCCAGAGTCAGGATTAACTCATGCAGTTGCTCACGGGATTCGGGAATGTTTACATGTTACTGAAGGATGTAAATGCTAGAGGAAACCCTTCTGTGTCTCCTTACCTTATAGAGCGCCCTGCTCTGGTTGATGGCTGTCCTTAGAATGATTCATGGGTCTCTGCACAAGGGTTGAAAGGGTTATGTGTAAACTCTTGTAGTTGTATGTTCCATGTAGTAATTATCTTTTAATTTCAATTTGTTTCTTAAGTGAGAAATAGCATGTAAACATTCAGAATTGATGGTGGGAGAGTCATTGTGTGACAGTGTGGGAGGAATTTGATTTCCTTGGTGGTACAAGTCTAGCCTCAGCTCAGCATTTAGGGCCTCTGCTCTGGTAGCATCCAGCTGTCCATTAAGCACCTCTCTTGAATCTTGAGCCAGTTACTATGAGTGGTTTTGACAGCTGGTTTTGGTGGCAGTGCTTACTCTGGTTTCTCAGGACCATGAGGTCCACAGAGAGCCGCTTTCACTCGCATTATTTCAAGTTCTTACAGGTGAATGTTTGCTTATTTCCTCAAGGGAGATGGGACCTTGGGAGAACATGTTCAGATAGGAAGCTTTGACTTCTCATGGACTCTGTTCTTCATAGTCAAGCTCTCTAAAGCAGTCCACTCAAGCTGTTATAAAGTCTTTCCTGGTGAACTTATATCCTTCATAGGAACCCAGGGAGCGTGTCCCTGGAGTTGATAGGCAAAAGCATCCGAAGCCTCTAGCTAGGTGGCTGGCCTGAGGAGGTGGAGCTGTCTGAGTTATTATCCAGCCTGTGTCACCTCTGGTTCTTTTCAGAGAAGATTGATACTGGCCATTACCCATCTGTCTCACATTGTGGTTTTAGTCTGGTTTTTCATGTAATATATGACTTTACATGCCAGCACTCCTGTTTCTCTAGGAATTCTTTGTGGCTTAACTATAGTACAAGTTAAACAGCCAATCACGGTGTCCAGTCCTATATACTCTTGGTTATATAATGTCCATAGTATACCCTCAAGGAAATGTGAGCCATGGAGTCAGACGTGCAGGAATATGCCATCCTCTCAAATCCTTTGTGAAGAGGGCTTGATGAAGGTCGTAGGGTCAGAGAAATGCCATGTACAGACTACATCAGGGACATGGTGTCTTTCCAGCCCATAGGGTCATCATGGCAGACGAGTCACTGTTCAGACATTTTCCCAGTTAGTATTCATTAGAAACTTCTTTTCATTTTTCTGACAGTAATAACATTTACTGAGCCCTGTATCAGCTTAGATTCTGTTACTATAATTGCTGAGGCGAACATATTAACTGGTATGTGTTCAAGCCAGTGGTGTGGTGTGCAGATTGGAATTGTGTCGATTTGCCTGACTATACTGTCAGGGCTCTGTCTTTGGGGAACCTAGCCTCCTCACAGAGATGCTGAAGGACTTGTGGGCTTTGCTAACAATTCTGGCTCTGTAGTCGGTTAGTGTTGTGCTACCAGATGAGAATTTAGCTTATGATAAAATGAATGAGGACCACGGCCAGTGGCTTTTGGGGTGATACTCACATTTCCCATTTGCTTGTTAGAGTTGTCTGAAGCTGTATCAAGACACTCACCAGGAATACGCCCGTGTGAAAGAAGAATGCTTGCGTAGTGATGCCCAGTAAGTGGATTACTGTTGACACGTGCTTTCATCTTCGACACTGAAATATTTGCAAATAATTGGTGTTTCCTTTCTTCCGGTTTCTGTTCATTGGTTGTAATTAATTAGCCATGCAAACTTGGGCTAATCTCTCAGCCACAGCTTTCACCGGTGTCACATGGGGTCGGCGCTGGTGATTAAGGTCATCTGGTGCTGAAGCACTGCACACACAGGTGTTGGCCATACTTACTTTATCATGTGGGAGCTCCACCTGTGTCTGTGTGTGAGCTCCACCTATGTCTGTGTGTCCGGATGCAGTCATGGGCCTCCTGTCTTTGCACCAGTCCTTACAGGCTTCACCTGTTGTAGTGTCTCACTGTAGGAGGGCCTTCCTTACCACAAGTGAAATGGGCCAAGTATCTTGCTAGTTATGTTGAAGTTTGGTACCTCAGCCACACCATGCAATTGCTGGTGATTTAGTTATGAGTGAAAGTCTCTTATATATACCATGTGTGGTAAGTTGTAATTTCCTTTGCCATCTAACTTACAAGGTTTTATTATTAGGAAGAAGAAACTAGAAGCTAAGGTGAAGAAGCTGGAAGGTAAGTGCACCTGTTGTTTGCCGGCCAGCAGAGCCATGTCATTGTACAGACCCTGGTAAGTGTGAGGCTGAGTGTCCGTGCAGTGTGCTAGGAAGGGTTGTGTGTGCTACTGCTGCTCAAACTAATCCTTTCTCTGTAACCCTTTGCTATAAACAGGCAGCGTGGAAGGAAATGCAGTGATTCAGTTTTGAAAGTTGGATCTTGTAGCTGTTTCTGCTTCTTTTATTCCCAGTTGAAATTAGTGGTTACTAGAAAAGGTAGGGTTTCCATTGCTCTCATAAACAACATGACCAAAGCACTTTGAGGAGGAAATTTGGCTTGTATTTCAAAATCCATTGAGAGAAGCCAAGGCAGTAACCTGGAGGCAGGCGCTGATGCAGAGGCATGGAGGGTGCTGCTTACTGGTTTGCTCTTTGTGGCTTGCCCAGTCTGCTTTCTTATCAAAACCAGGACCACCACCCACAATGGGCTGGGCCCTCCTGCATCAATCACTAATTAAGGAAATTCCTTAGAAGTTTGTCTACAGCCTGAGCTATGGAAGCATTTCCTCAGTTGAAGTTCCCACCTTTCAAATGATTCTAGCTTGTGCCAAGTTGAGGTCAAGGAATTGATGTACTTAGATAGTTCAGGCACTGATACATACATACATACATACATACATACACACACACACACACACACACACACACACACACACACACACACACACACATTTCTATGAAGTGCCCCATCCTGGTCCTTCCTTCCTCACACCTGACTTGAGTTCCATGCTTCTGTTTCCAAGTAGGCAGAATACAGAAGGGCACACTGTGATATGTTATGTCTTTACACCTTAGCATTTTCGGAAGTCAGCTAGGAGTGGAATGTCCATTTTGTTTGCAGTTACTTATGGGTGGAATCGGGTAGAGGCAATGGCTATGCTGTCACTGTCTGCCCAGCATGATGTTCAGGTGTCTGCTCTCGTGGGCTTTCGGCATCACAGTGGTTGTGCTCTCTTTCAGAATGAGGTGTTTCCATGTACGCTGTGAACTTAGGAGCTCAAATTTAGTAGCTCGGGCATTTAGAACAAGAATTCGTGAAGTATTTATTGCTGTCCTCAGTTTAGACATCAGCTCTGCAGATGGTTGGATGTTACCCATCTCATGAACATTGACAGGCACTAAGCGCACGGCTGTGTTCCCGGTTGGTCCTCTCTTGTCTGTGGAGATAAGTGGAAATGCCTAAGAGGCTGTATGCAGCTTTGAGAAGGTACCCATTACGTCAAATGTAGCTTTAACTTTAGTGTAACAGGAGTGTAACCCTCCCTGTAAATTGATAGGACATGATGAAGCGTTGCACACAGTCTAGCTCAGTGAGGAGAGAAGCGTCACTGGGGTCTGGTAGGGCTCTGCTTTCCTTCACAGCTGTGTATGCATATGTCTTTGTGATGTCGGTTCCAGCTAGATTCTCACTGGTGTGTGCATCGTGTGGTGCTTTTGAATCAAAAAGGAATGAATGGTTTGCGCACTGCCCCAGCCAGAGTGTTGCATGGAAGAATTTGGAGTTGCTGTGTCAGTTGTGGGAAGGATCCTCACAGCCTGAGTCAGTTCTTTAACTTCATGAGTAGGTAGTAACTGTCGGTGACATTTGTTCAGTCTTTGGAAAGGAAAAAAACTGGCACCAGATCACACAGGATGAGGTCACTAACTACCCCCTCTTTCTGACATATTACACATAGAGGCTGCTATCAAGCAAACTCAGGACTTCAAGCAATTGAGAAATGAAAAGAAAATACTTGAAAAGGAATTTAAGAAGACACAGGTACTGGGTAAAATGATGCACACACTTTACATCCTGACTTGGGGCTTCTGAGAACACAGACGCTCATTAAAAGTTGCACACACTTTGCATCCGACTTGGGGCTTCTGTGGCATCCAAGTTGCGGCTACAGTCACTGTCTGTTACCTTGCGCCCATCTGACCTTTGCTCCACAGTGTTTGTTTCTGTACAGCATAAGCATTCTTGGTGTTTCTCTCCCCCCAACACAGGAAAGGTTTGAAGAATTTTCCAAACAGAAAAACGAGAAGGGTGAGTATTCAGTTAATGCTGACATGGAGAGCCAATTTTAGTGTGCAGTGTTGATTTTAAACCCTTGTCCTTATGTTTTTAGAGTTGAGACACATTGGAACACAGATCTCAAGTGACTCTCATGGAAGTATAGACAAAAGTGAGTGTCCTAACAGTGTAGTTTATGCATTGCTTGTTGTGGTTAGTGGGAGTCTGTACTGCTTAACCTAACTGCAGAAATATGGCTTTGTAGATGCTTTGTTGGAACAAATGTTGCTATTTTGGATGTATGTTAGTTAGATTTGCATATATCCACATTTACTTATCCATGTCTATAAAGACAACTATTTTCTTAAAATATATGAATGAAAGAGTCAAAGAAGACATTGTTTGGGAAAGGAAAAGTATTTATGTAAGCCCCACACTTCTCAGCAAGTAACGGTAGATGTCTGCCTAGATTCCATCCTATCAGATTATTTCACTAAGCGTCCTGGGTGCCAGGGTTGTGTAATCCACCACTTGGAATATCCAGGTGAGAGCATCTTGAATCTGAAGGCACCGTGGCTACATAGAGATACTGTGTCTACAAAACCAAAAGTAGCTCTCCTGGACAGTTTAGGTCAGTGGTCCTCAACCCAGGGGCTGAGACCCTTTTGGGGGTCAAACAACCCTTTCACAGGGTTCGCCTGAGATCATTGGAGAACATTATGAGTCATAGCAGTGGCAAAAGTAAAGTTGTACATTAGCAATGAAAATGTTTTTATGGTTGGGGGTCACCACAACACGAGGAACTGTATTAAAGGGTCACATCCTTAGGAAGGTTGAGAACCGCTACTGTAGATGTTTAGCGGCAATAGAGAAAAGTGAGTGTGGAGGATGGAAAGCTGATGGTCACAATAGCAGACAAGAGCAGAGTTTCAAAGGGCACTTTTCCAAATCATACAGGCAGAGCATTAAAGTTCTGCAAATGACGAGTAGAGGGGATGATGTTCCAGCCTTCCAGTTTTAGAAGCCGCTGCTTCTAAACAGGTCAGAAACTGTTCCCAGGTGCAGTTTATTAAGGTGTGACCTATGAATGAGACTTGTTTAGAGATGAAATAATTGGTTAATTAATGGCACACTGGTTGTGAGTTGACACTTGATCCAAGAGTGACAGTGGAGTGGAAAGTGAAAAGCAGGTGTGAGCCTAACTATTCATAACAGTAGCAAGATTAAAGTTATGAAATAGCAGTGAAAATAATTTTATGGTTGGGAGTCACTACAGCATAAGGAACTGTATTAAAGGGTCACACTACTAGAAAGGTTGAGAAACACTGCCCTAGAAGACAGGAAAAAGCAAACACACCTGTGTCACGTCTTCAGTTTTTAGTCAAAGCATTGCCAGACTTCTGTTGGCAATGAACTGATTGTGCAGTTATAGTGTGGAGGTTGAGGTGCCGCCTTCTAAGTGGATAAGGAGTCTCTTGGCTCCACAGAACTGTGGCTGATCTTGGTGCTTTGCTGTTCACAGGGAAGGTAAAAGTTCTCCTGAAAGAGCTGTGGCTCTGTGTGAACACTGCTCACAGGCTGTCCGGGGAGGGCGGCAGGCGCATCCCAGGTGAGTGGTACCACAGAGGCTCATTACACATGAACGTGCCAGCCTTTGCCACAGGCTGCATTGCAGCCTCCAGTGTGTAGCTCCGAGTGGGACTTGAAATGTATGAAGCAGTATGACTCTAATCCCAGCAGATCCAGTTTACTTTTGGTAGCAGCTCTCAGAAGAGCCTGGAAGGTGAAGCTAAGGCATGCTTGGCCTTGTATGTGGAAGAGCTCCTGTACTACAAAGTAGCTTCTTTTAGGTTCTGTTTATTTTCACACAAGAATGTTGAACAGTGGGAAACTCCCTTAGAACTCTGTCCCAACCCTGTTAGCTATGGGGCTCATGGAAATTGCACATGTTCCCACCTGTACGGGGCTCCAGTCCCAGACTCCTTTCCCACTTCTGTTCAGGACTGCAGGATACACTGTGACCCACTGAGGGCCACATCTATGGTAGATGTCCTCTGCTTCCAGTTTGCTCAGTGAAGATTTATTAATCTCATTCCTTTTGCATTTAGTTACTGGAATTTTTGCATAAGAAAGGCTGTCCCTCTCCACTGTGCCTCTCTGGTCTGTTTCACATCAGGGTAGCTCATGTGCTTCCCAGTGCACTGCAGTCCCATGCGCCCCTTACACATACTTGCCCTGCTTAGATCATTTTTCTGGTAGAGTCTCAGTGTGAATTTCTGTACCACTAACACAATCCAAGTTTCCTGAAGAGGTCTGGCTCCTATGTAGCTTAAAAACAACAGAGGGTGATTGGCAGCGATGCCATGGGATCCATATTTCTTGAATAAATAATCATTGTCAACTGAAGTTCATGAAACTCAAAACCCCCTCTCCCTGAAAAATGATATACTTGCCTCTTTCTCACACAATGCTAGCAATACTTGAGGGAGCTACTGGGTAGCAGAAAAATTGAACTGTGTCCATAAGCTGAGGCAGACAGATTTAGCCTCCTGAAAAGCAGTCTGAAGCCAACCAGTGTCAAAGCTGTCCATAGCCATTCTGTGCAAGGTGCATGAGACCATTGTTGAAGGGAAAGGCTCTCCCAGTGTGCTAAAGCAGTAAGGCGTCTTGTGTCTTCTGCTGTGCTTCAGGCTGGCTTGTGGTGCCTCCGTGGGCCACTCTCCATCCACTTCCCTGTCCCAGTCTAGGAGGTAACGTTGGAGTTGAGGGGTGACATTTTTTAAGCTGTCTACTCATTTTCGCTTTCTGCTGGCAGTTTGACACGATGTCAGGGTGTAATGTGTAAGTTTTCCTGGCATTAAATGTGTGGTGCCTGCTTCTCTCCTGCTCAGGAAAACCTGACAAGGGAAGCTGCGTGCCCAGAGCCTCTGGGGAAGATGAGCTGCTCCCAGTGCAAGGCAGTCCTGCCAGGACGGCAGACATGCGTTCTTTCCTCACCAAGTTGTCCATGGAGATGGAGGGTGACTTCACATCCTCTGACAGCGCAGATGAGCAGCCCGGCAGAGCAAGCCTTAGCACAGAGCCTGCCCGTCATGAGGAAAGCCAGCCCAAAGTCTCCTCGCAAAGGCCTGGCGATGGCAATGGTGATGGGACCAACATCTATGACCATGAGCACTTCTTTGATGATGACCTTCAAGCTGCCATCGACTTCTTCAAGCTCCCCCCTCCTCTTCTGTCCCCGGTGCCCTCTCCCCCTCCGACAACATCGCCACACCTGGGCTCTTTATCATCCTCCATGGCTCCTGTGAGTTGGCTTTCTGAGTTTTAATTCCACATGGATGTGTTTGTCTTATGTTCAAGGTATTTCAAAGGCGTTAGTGTAGTTGGGGAAAATGTGTCACTTTAGCCAGTTTTACTGTGAAGTAACATAAGAAAATAAAAGGCTGTGCCAGGGCCCTCTGTATCAACATCTGTAGTGTGACTTTCTTCACTGTGTATTATGGTTACATTTTATTGTCTTTCATTGTGCTTTAATGTAGAAAGACAGTGTTTATTTTTATTGCTAGTGCACACAGTACATGATAGGCATGGAGGGACAGAAGCATATTCTTACAGACCCAGGCTGTTAGCAGAGACAGTAAAATTTCCATGTCTAACATTCCTGACATTGGCACAGCATTCTCAGCTTCGGGCGCATCTTCCTCTTCAGATGCTTACACTGTTTCTCCACTTAGGAGTCCCGGCATTTACTCCTGTCCCAGACCCCTAGCCAGGAACTGTGGGTTCACAGGTGATGGATGGTACGGTGTTGGGCTATCGTGTGAATGTAGGACCAGGCATGGAGCACACAGCTCCTCTGCTGGGTAGAGCTCTTCAGAGCTGTGGTGCAAGTTCTTCCTCCAAAGATGAGGCTCTACCTAGGAGAGGCTGGCAGGGAGGCTGCACGCCTGTTTCTGAAGAGAGAAGCCCTTCAAAGAAAGCACCAAAACGTGGGTGGATTTTGGGACAGAAGCTGCTGTACAGTAGTGTGTGACCCAGGTCGAGCACGGCTTCGGGAAGCTTGAGGTGGATGTTTCTTAAAGGGTCTTGCAAGTGTTCCTAAGAAACTCATGTGTTATTAGGGGGATGGGAAATGGTTGTGCCAGGTTTCCATATGAAAGTTTCTGCTTAGTCACAGTATGAATAGCAAAGGATTGACAGTTGAGAAGCAGAAGGAATGCTGGTCAGGACTAGCTTTTACTATATGTATGCAGGTTGCAGCACTAGGGCCACAGGCTGGTCTAGTTTAAAAATAGCTGGGGGACTGGTGCTTGATAGCATTTTCACTATGGTCTTTAGGGGAGATGAAGGCAAAGCTAATTTAAAATGTTACAGAGGCTCCCTTGGGGATTCTACAAGTGTCCATGAGTTACCTATTGATTTCTCACCCATGCACGGCCTCATCCAAAATTAACACACACTATACCTAGATGGAGATGGGTAGGACACAGCCACTTGGGACCAGTGGCTGTGCTCAGCAGAGCCATGTGCCTGTGGCCACATTCAGTAAGCATATAGAGAAGGTGGGAGTCCAGTCAACCTTGGCAGCTACCAGCAACTAAGTGAAAGTAGAGGCAGGGAAGAAAGACAGGTGGGGGGAATGTGAGGGAAAGCCTGGAGACGGATCCTCTAGACTCCAGCGTTGGCGAGGGGGGATGTACACTGGGTTAGTTATGTTCTAGCACTTGAACTTGCCCTCCCCTTATGCATACGATGGGCAGAGTTTGATGACATGAGAGAGAAACAGTTCACCTCGGTGGGAGCCACTAGTTGGGATGTAGGAGGGTTTTGGGAACAGAGGTGACTACTGGCTGGAGAACATGGTGAAAGGAGAGGGGAAGAGCTGTGCGGCAGGATCTGTGCGGTCCCCGAGTAATAAGAAGGCTCAGGAGCTATCCTTAGCGTGAGTGGCAGGAAGAGGAACCAAAGGGAGGTGGAGCAAGGGTCCAGTGAGCCTCAGCATAGAGCCTCGTCCCTAACAGCAGGCAGAACTGGGAAGGTGTGAAAGCTGAAGGCACAGACCCAGCCTCAGTGCTGTGTAGACCGCGACTCGGAAGAGCGTGTGTTACAGGAAAGTAGTAAGAGTGGGTCCCAGCTTCCTTAAGGATTGGGTAGAGCGAGCGCCACACCAGAGCCTGGTCCACCCTTGACAGGTATGCTAGTGAGAATTCCTTCGGAAGCACCCACTCTCGTGAATGCGTTCAGTAGCACTGACAGGTTAAGTGTCTGAGCATCTGTGTGTCTGACTGTGTGCTTTGTGTCACTTGCAGGAATCCTGCTTTGGAGAGTTGACGGACTCCAGCGACAGTGACTCTGCCCCACTTAGAAACTTTGTGGAATCGGCTTCAGAAAGTTACACAGCAGAGGCTCGGGGTTACTTTGACTTGCTTGAAAAACTTAGAAGGAGTGATATCTGCCTGGAAAAATCCAGGTCACAGGGATTTTCCCACACTGTAAACAGGCTGGCACCTGTTGGATTTGATAGCAGAAGAGTAACACCGGGAGAACCCTCCTCCACATCTTCTCTAGCTCGGGCAAGGCACTGGATAGCATCACCTGAATTTGTGAAGGATAGGGGAGATGTCGTAGACAAGGCAGAAGGAAAGGTAGCTGCCCAGGAGATGGATAAACCTGTACGAGTCAGGAAAGGGCTGCTGAAGCGTAACAGGAGACTGTGGAGGGAGAGGGCATCCAGAAGCTCAGCCCGAAAGAAGGAAGCCAGAGCCAGGAAGTCAGAGGCTCGTTATTCTCCTTTTGGCAAGAGGACATTCAGTGAACTCATGGAATCTGAAGGGAAAACCCTGTCATCAAAAGCGTTGTGCTCACCCCACTCAGAATTTACCAAATGGACACTCACTGGTGAATTTCCTTCCAAGTCACACCGTGTGGTGCATTCTGGCCATTTTCAGAGAAAGGAGAAAGATGTGCAGGCGTCTACTTTGGGGCCGGGTGTTTGTGCAGCGGCAGCCAGTCTTCCTTCCCCTTCTACCTCTGTGCCAGAGTCTCTGTGCAGTAACCCCAAGGCTTCTCGGCTAGGGTTTATCAATGCAGGGGCTCCAGCAGATGGGAACTGCACGAACCTGCATCGTTCAGAACAAAAGTCACCAACTAGAACTTTTAACACGTTCCTTCAGTGGTCTGAGCCAGCAGCATGCTTTCCAAAAGGAAATGACCCAGAAAACAGCTCGTCTGCTTTGAATTCCAAGTCAAAATTAGGAGCATCTACATTTAGCGATTGGAGGAGCAGAGGCCCGGAGCCTTTAAACATTTTTAAAAGTACCATGCAGGCACACCCACTTCCTCAGTCAGTATTTCAGAAGCCAGCCACAAGTGGGCAGTGTGGTGTCCGAGGTTCAGGCACTGCGTTCACCCTGCCTAAGTCAGATTGGACTTCATTAGCGCATTCTCAAGCTAGCTCTACGAGGAAGAGCCCTGCTTCTGCTGACAGTACCTCGTGGCACCGTAGTCATATACTGAGGAGAGGTGGTGAGGGCAGTCCCAGAGCTACCTCCGAACATCAGCAGAAGACGAGTGTTCAGTCCGAGAAGGCAACACCAGCCTCACAGAACAGCAGGTTGACAGCCGTGCCTGGACCTCCTCCAGAAAGTACTGTCCCTTTGGAATTCAACACAGCTGCTGCTTTGCTCCCAAACCAAGTGTCAGTCATAACAAAGCAGGCAAGACCTGAGCGGATGCAGAGTGGCAGCCTGGAACACTGGCAGCCACGTGGGGCCACTTCGAGCCCTTCTGCAGACAGTAGTGAGGAGGCAGGTCCTACGCTATCTGTATCGGAGTCTACTGGAGATGGGGATCCCACAGCACAGGGCAGTGACGGGGTACCTGAGGAGGAAAGCCTTTCTCCAGGAGTTTCTGTGTCTTGGCGAAAATCAAGTTGCGATTCCCCAAGTGGCTCTGTGCCAGCAGAGAATTTTGGTTCTACAGATAAGTTACCCTTTTCACCTGGCCACAGCCTCATCCAGAACCAGTGCGTTGTAAATGAAGCCCTGCTACAGAAACCCAGGAGGTCTCCCCATACCACACAGTCAGGTGCCCGTAGGCTGGAGGCTGGGAAGCTACTTCTGTCTGAGGTGCCATCCAGAGACTGTCCTACTGGACAGATGCCCAGTGGAGCTCATCCCCAGGCAAACACTGAGACCCCTGTAGCTGCGAGAGGTTCTGGTAGTGCTTCACGAAATGCCAGCCCACCTCCCACAGTGCCCACCAGGGCGCTCCTCAGAACCCGTGTCCCCGCCGGTACTGTCTGTTCTTCAGTTCTTGGCAGTGCAGATGGGGAGAAGCAGAGTACCTCCCGAAGTAGTCTTCCTGGGGCTTCCTACTGCTACACAGGCATCAGAGAGCAGAGGGAGGATACTGAGGTAGAGGATGAGGCCTTTAGCTGCAGTGAGGGAGAGCATGAGACTGAAGCTTCCATGGGACACAGACAGCAGGGTGCAGCAGGAGACTCACGGAGACTTTTGGGAGACCCGGAGGCTGGGCTGCGTGGGCTTGGACATGCCTTGGATGTAGGCGATCTGGCCTCAGCCTTGCAAGGATGTAACTTAAGCACTTTTCTTTACATAGATAAGCTCTCTACATCAGAGGTCGTTATGTTTCTTGAAAGTTGTCAGTTAAGGGATTATACTTCCAGGGCCTCTGTTTCAGAATGTTCTAGCAAAGAAACTGTTAATGAAGAAATGAGAAAAGATTTCAGGCAAAGTGAAATCTTCAGAAAGAACCGCGGGAAAAGGTTCCATGAAGAAGAAACACCCAGAGCCTCGGAAGAGTGGGTCGAGTCAGAGGGAGATGACTTCCATGTCAGAAATTCAAGCCAGCGTGCTTGCCATCCTCTGGAAATGCCATCTGATATTCTCACTGGAACCAGGGAAGAACTGGTTGCAAACCCTGGGGTCTGCAATGAGAAGGAGGCTGATGTGTTGCTCTTAAACACGCATCACAGCCAGGTAGCTGACGAGCTGATAGAAAGCACCCTGCCCGCGGTAGCATCCAGCTCCATGCCCCACACTGCAGAATTGCCCCATCCAGCCACTGTGGGTGCTGCAGGCAGCTCTCCACTGAGTGTCATGTCTGACCCGGAGCATATTCAGAGCAGATCTGAGGATGAGACCAGTTATGGGGGCTGCCCCAGCACTGGCCGGGAGGGCCTGGCAGATCCTGCGGAGCTTTTGGCCTTGAGCTCTGACTGGACTGCTCCACCAAGGCTAGAGCAGAGCTCTGAGTGTGTGACAGAGACAGCATTTCGCTATCAGATCTCCGCAGTGACCTCAGAAGTCATAAGCGTACTGATAAATAAGGACCAAGACGTGGTGATTGAAAAGGGGGACAACTGGACTATCATCAGTGGTGTCGCCATCTCTCCCGGCATGGAACAAGTAGTTCTTTGTGAAACTCTTGATGCTTTCTCTTCTCGGGATCTGGGAGGCCCAGACAGTGGCTCTGTGGGCAAGTCCCCTGAAGCCAGTCCTGCTGGCCCTCTACCTCAAGAGCCTCCATGTGGCGCCCAGGAGGATGCTTCCAGCAGTGATCAGAGTGCCAACTTTGATAAGAGTCGTCTTCGGAACAGACCTGTGAAGCCTAGCATCTGGATTCGCTCTCAGATGTATGACCAGACACTTGAGACCGAGAAAGTTGTGTCTGATCACACATATTGTAACTGGAAATTAGAGCCACTTGGTAAGAATAAGACTCGATCAAAGATTTCCAACAAAGATCAATCAGGCAAACTGGCAAAGACTCCAGGACTGGACACAGGGGAAGCGCATCTGGACGAAGTCCCTCAGCCAGTGCCAGGGGAAAGAGCAAATACGAATATGCCAAGAAGCCAAGCTCCGTCCACCATGGTGGGTGCAGATGTGTCCACCCCTTCCAACTGTTCCCCTGATACTCTGAATAAGATCCGGCAAGAAGTGGGGCCTCCATTGCCTCCTTTGCTCGCCCCGCTGATAGCCACACCCCCGAGGACGTCACAGCCACTGACTCCTCTGATAACACGTTCCAGTCCGTCCTCACTGGCCTCACCTGCCGGCCGTGTTTCCCCGCTGCTGTGCGACATTTCTGGGCCTCCCGTGTTGTCTCCGTGGCCGGAGGAACACCAGCAGGCCTCCGCACTGGACCCTTCTCCGTCCCCATCTACGGCGGCAGCCACTGGAAGGATAATGTCCTCTCCTCTGCAGTTCTGTGCCGCTACACCAAAGCATGCACTTCCCGTGCCCGGCCGGCTCCCATCCTGTGCACCTGGCCATGCTGCTGTGAGTGGGCAACAGGAAAATTCCGTTAAAATCCTTGACACCATGTACCCAGAGCTATCTGCCAGGGCCCGGACCCTCAGCCTCCTCAAAGGGAACATGCAGCTGTCCCGAGGCTCCTCTGTGGATGGGAAGGTGTTGCCTGGGCGTGTCAGTGCACTCATAGGACTCAAAGCTATCACCTCAACATCAACTGCTTTTGTCCTAACTGGGGGCACCTCTGGTGGTGACGGCAGCCAAGGTAAGTCACAAGACTTGAGTGCACAGCAGGATGCAGGTGGGAAAAGAACACTGGCAGCCTCCATACTGAGGAGTGCTAAGAGACTGCGCCTCGACAGTGAGTCCCCAGAGCCAGACACCAACCAGGTCGCTGCAGAAGGAGTCCCCGGGGACGCCCCAGGAGGAACCTCACCAGTCGAAGTTGTCGCAGCTGAGGAAGAACAAGCTGCTGCCCTGGTCTGCAGCCCAGCATCTCAACTGCATGTGAACCCACGAGAGATGGCAGAGTCGTACAACATAGCCATAGCTCGTGCTCTGAGGAAGATTGCCGAGTCCTCCTTTGACCTGCTCCCTGTCATTCGCAGTCATGTGTATGTGGGAAATATCTCCAAAAAGCCTGTCATGAGAGATCAAGAGAAGGAAGTTGTTTATGAATTTAGCACAACAAACAAGGTAGGCTGCAGCCTTTCTCTCACTGTGGCTAGACTGAAATGAGTGTCTAGTAGGGACTGGCTAGTGAGGTGACACTGAAGATTACCCTTGCATCTAGAGATTAGAAACACAAGATGACAGTGGATGCTTGACACGTACGACTCTGTAGAGAAAAATCTGTTGGAGCAGAAATTTTACATTTCCAGATGGCGCCGGCATTTCAGGCATAAAGTATCCTCCCTCTGAGTGCCACATTCCCATCACGTACATTCCCTCCCACAGCACCAGCATCGTGCAGACTAGTGTTGTGCTGTTCCTGAGGGCTTCCTAGCTGTGTGTGCTAAGCATCCCTCAGCTCCTTGCCCAGGTGACTCCGGTGCCCGCTGGATCACTCTCCAGTGGCCACTGCCACATGCAGGATGTCCTCAGGGACTAAATACAGTGCATTTGATTGTTGCTTTTCAGAAAGCCTGAGAGGTTCAGGTGTCTTTGCGAGACTGTCTTCTGTGTGAATGGTTATCCAGTTTCTATGATACAATTCTCTTTCAAGGGAAGGAAAATAGCACCCAATCCCATAGAATCTATAAACAGTAGAATAAATGAAAATGGGGGTAGAATTAGCCTGAGCTTAATGTGCATGTACACATGTGGATTCTTAGCAAAAACCAGTGAATTATAATTTCTTTGAATGGCAAACTTGTCATCACAGGCAAGTAGATGTACCTATAGATTAGCTGTGGTATCTGTAGCTTGACCAATTCCAAGAGGTCAGTCGTAGGGAGTTCTCACCTCTGGGTATATTGTTTGCTATCATGCTAGACAAGTTATTAGAAGTTATCCTGGACTACCTTCTGGTACTGTGTAAGTTTAATTTGTCTGATAGATACCTAATTAGGATTGGTTCTAGCATCTCTAACCATAATTCTTTTATCTTTCCCAATCCAGCATTTAGGAGAATACTTACTTCGCTCTATTCTCTCAGAGCTAAAGGTTCAGAAGACATCTCTAGACCACAGTTACATTCATGCACTTTGCAGAGTATATGTGGGCATTTGTCGGCAACTTGGAGACTTGGAAAGAGCTCGCTTGTTCTGCTACAGCCTTCTGAAAGAAGGTGTGTTCAGGTTGCAGCACTTGTCTTGAGAACCTGCTGTTTCATTTCCACCGTACACTTGCTTCTGGCTTTTCACCTGGTTGTGTCTTTAAAAATAATGTTTTTTATCTCTGTGAGTTTGAGGCCAGGTTGATCTAGAAATACTGTGTCAAAAAAAAAAAAAAAAAAAAAAAAAAAAATAGTTTTGATCTGCCGGAGGGCTTAAGTGACCAACTATACCTAACTAGATTTAACTTACATTGGCACACACTCCCCTTTGAAGGTAGGTTGTCTCTTGTCACCCACTGTGTATCTACTTTATTCCTGTGTTGTAAAATATTGGGAACCCTTGTGCAGTGACTGCCCGTATTGCTGTGCCCCTGGCTAAGGACAGTAATTGTCGGGTGGATCTGTAGCCTCGTGAAAAGCTGTACCTTAGTGATGAAAAGGAGGGGGAAGATCCAGGCTGTCCTCACTCGCCTTCCCCTTTACTACAGCTTCCTCAGTCTCAACTGTGGATCCAGATTAGGAGACCTGGGTGGCAGCAAGCCATCAGTGCTCACAAGCAGGGAAAGAGGAACACAATAAAGCGTTGTACCAAGAAGTCGATGCTAGTTTGCCCACATTGTTTCACTGATTTGTTCAGTTTTCCATTGTGGGACTCATGCTATGCGGCCAAGAAAGGGCTGCAGACCTGGTGACACGGGGACACAAAGCTGGGCGGCAGAGAGGAGTACGGTTAAGTCCAGTTCCGCGGCTTTCCTGCTCTTACTCAGTCACAAGCTTGCTCACACCACAGGCTTTGTTCCGACAAATGTCTTTCTGTCGTTGTTCACTCTGTGATGTGTCACAGGTGCCCTTAATCATTTTCTGTCCCATATTCTCCTGTTGTCATTGTGACACTTACCTTCCTTCCCTTTATGGGACACAGATTACTTTAGTCCCACTCTCTGTCCCGTTGTATTGTGTAGTCTAAAAGGACAAATTCTGTCCCACCTCACTGTTTTACAGCCATTTGCACCGTTTACAGCCGTTAACCCCTGTTGTGTAACTGGCTTGTACTTTGGAAGGTAGATTTGATAGTCTGGGGCGGGACTCAGGGAAGCTTCCCTGTCCTGTGAAGAGTGTGGATCAGACTTAGGAGGGAACATGTGGAATTGCTGTGACAGGAAGCCGGCACCAGAAGAACAGGTGTGCACAGCAACACATCAAAATAGTGCATCAGGGCTATGCTCTGACCCACTCACCCTTTTACTCACAGTAATAATAGACAAAGTAGAAGGAAGCTTTAGCCAGGTCCACCTTCGTGACAAATAGGACAAAACTCATATTAACTGCATCGGAAAACTGGTTTTGTTTGTGAAATTAAGATACTCATTTCATGACATACAAACAAGCTCCACTTTTAGATACATATCCAACAGAAAACAGACTTGAGAGCACATTTGTGATGTGTTATTTCATAATAGCCTGTAGTGGGAAACAAATGCTGTCAGCAGGTGACTGAACATATCAGCACACTGTTAGCTGTTGAGCGTCTGAACACTTCATAGTTGTGCAAGTGAACGGACTCCTCATGCGTGCAGCCCATGGGTAGATCTCAGTTTTGTTGAGTGTGTAAAAGAGTTGAGTATGTAAGAACACATAGCACACTAAGGCAGTATTACCTATTTGATTTGTAGTGATAGTAAACAGACTTGGGATTCTCCATCTAGGAAGGAGGTACTCTTTAAGAGTATATGTTACTGCTTTTATTTTAAAAAGAAAAGCCTGGAGAGTGAAAGAATATGTGGCAAAAAAATTCATGGTAGAAACTTGGTTGCATTTCAAACTTTGTACAAAAATACAGAACTTAGTATGAAAAGGTGGTATTGGTCAGAAGGGCTCCGTCAAAGGAGAGAAGTTAACATCCTGCCTTCAGATTTTTTCAGGCTGAGAATTTTCCCATTTGATACACAATATTATAAGGCCATTCATTTCCACACAGCTGGTAACCATTGTTTAGATTTAAAGGGTTGAAGTGTAACAGTATGCCAAGCCAGACATAGCAGCTCCTTCCTAGAATCCCAGCACTTGGGAGAGACTGAGGTGAGAGTTTGTCACCAGTTTGAGGCCAGTCTGAACTACAGAATGAGACCTGTCTCAAAATAAAAGAAAACCCAAAGAGAGACCCAAGACGGGGGGGGGGGGGGCAGGGTTTTGAGACAGTGAAGACCCCCCCATTAACCATGCACTCACAAAGCTGTCAGCTTCAGGTGCTTCGTGAGACATCTGTGAAGTAAAATCCATGTCTAGTTGTAACTTACTGTCATAGGTGAGACGTAAAGGTTCTTTTTATCCTCTCTTACAGATTTTCCAGAATCTGAGAAGTTGACCCTATTCATTGCCAACATGTGGCGTGAAGTGTTTCTCTCCCAGTCAGCCATTAGTGAAGCAATGCAGCTCGTTGCCAGGCAGCGTGCCAGAGGGGAGGTTCTGAACTGCCTGAGAGCATTCCTCAGCTGGGAAAAGGTACACTCTGTGCTGTGTGATGCCCTTTCTGCGGTACATGTAGAATGAACTTAGAGGTTGCTATGAAGCTTTGTATTTCCTTTTGTTCAAATTCTTGAGCATTTTTAAAAGATGATATTATATTTACTTATTTATGTTTCTGTGTCCTGCCATACCTGTGCACGCTCTCTCTCTCTCTCTCTCTCTCTCTCTCTCTCTCTCTGTGTGTGTGTGTGTGTGTGTGTGTGTGTGTGTGTGTGTGTGTGTATACACCTCGGAACAAGCACAGGGGTCTGTTGTTCTCTCCCCCTCACTGTGTTGGCTCTGGAAATCAGTCTGAGCTCCTGAGGTTTGATGGTGAGTGCCTTTACCTGCTGAGCCATCTGACCAGCTTCCTCTTGGGCATTTTAGAGTATCATTCCCCACAGCAGACCCTTTAAAACATTGTGCTAGCCTAATTTTGTGCAGCTTATTCATTAGTTATTCATGATATCTAGGAAAAATTCCAGACCCCCCAAATGTATGAAGATTGTTTGTTACACTAATTTATGACAGATGAAACCCATGTAATCTGCGGAGACGAGGACTATGTACTCTTGTGGAAACATAAGATAAGAAGTGTCATTCATTAGCTCCCAGACGTCTAAGCTCAGGCTTTGCTTTGTGTTGACCTGAGCCTGTGTTTGCCCTCAGCAGCTGCTTATGGTGCTGGTGGATACTGAGCAGTTCAGCCTTGTTGGTAGTGACATGGCTCACACAGTTCCCTCCAGTCATGGAAAGGAAGGTTTCTCCACAAAAAGACAAATGTGAATATTCATACAAATAAAACCAGGTGGAATCTGGTATGCCCTTTGTGGAGGTAAGCTGCCCTCAGCAGCGTGTCAGTGTGATTTATTACTCAGCAGGGAAGAGGAGTCCTTAAGCTGCTCACATGGTTGAGAACACAAAGCCCAGAATGCTGGTCTCATAAGTGAAGGAAGCTACCTACCATCATCACCCAGCAGCAGAGTTGATAGAAGTTTAAGTGTTAGTCCACGTTGTCCTGGATTCAGTCTGCTCTGTTTTGACTGGCAGGGTGGTGAATCCAGTAGCTTGTGCTGTGACTACTCGTTCCTAGTTCACACTCAGGCTGCTTCAAAGTCACTCTAGGGTCCATTAGATGCTTGTTACACTCTCAGATTGCTAGCACCCTAAGATGTTGATTTTTAATTTTATTTCTGTTTGCTAGAACGCTCCTATAGATGTCGGAATCGTGGTTTCTAAGCTGCTTTTGACCATACAGCTGTGCCCCAAAACAGAATTTCAGGCGAGTGAAGAGTTTGGTGAAGACCTCAGTGCAAACATTTGGGAATACATCTTTGCCATTGATCTCCTCTGCTGCCACCAGAGATGGATTTGGACACACGATAACATCATAAGGTGAGCAGCTTTGCTGATTTAAAGAACAGCTGTGTTAAGGGAAGATAACCTGTTAATGCTGGAGTGTGGCTTAGTTGTGGCTCTTTCTTACACAAGGCACTTGAAGTACCAATAACTTATTTTTATAAGAGTTAACAAGAGTACCCCTAAAATGTCTGAGTCACCACTAAAATCCCCCTGCTTTGTTTTTCTGTATGCTTCTGGCTACCTTCCAACGCTCCCAGTAATGTCTCCCCAAAAGCAGTACCTCAAGCATGAGGGCCTATGTTCCCACACCCCTCCTCAGAATGGCACCAACACAAGGCACCTCGGCAAGAACAAGCTAAGGAAGTGTCATACTGAACAAGCTAAGGAAGTGTCGTACTTGTCATCATACCCTCATGCGCTGATGGACCAGAAAAGAAGCTCAGAGAGGGGACCAAGAGTATGCAGATTACGAGCTAGGAGAGGGCAGGCCCTAGTGTCCTGGCCAGCCACTGAGTTTAGTTAGCTGAGATTTCTCTCCTGGTCCACACTTCTGGCTCTAACTGTGCCCCATCCCTTGAGAAGAGAAATTATCCCCCGATTTAAAAAAATAAAACAAAAAATTCTTTTTGAACAATGTTGCTGAGAAAGCCTGGTTTAAGGGGAAGGTACAGAGTTAAACCACTCACCACATAGTTGGTAGTATGCCTTTGAGATAGCTGGTTTCTGTGAGAGTCACTTTTGCAAGGAGCTATCTGCAGGAGAATCTTGTTTTCACTCTCCTGATCCCAGGAAAGACAGACTTGGGCCTCACAGTGAGAACTGACACCAGGTCCGTTTTTACAGTGATAGCTGTGTCAGGATGCTTGTGTGGAGGAGGTCTTTGTACATACACATGGAGAAACATGTCACAGTCAGTCCTACGTAGAGAAATGACAGCTGTGCCTAATGCCTGTCTGTGAAGGTGCGTGAGCCCAGGTGGATTCCTCAGGTGAGCTCAGGGAGGCAGGCCATTCTTTCCCAGTGACAGAAGAGGGACCAGAGCTGGCCCCTGACAGGATGCTCTGTTCTTGTCCTCTAATTGACTCCAGATTCTGCTCTTCCCTGCTTGTCACTTTGTTCTCACCACCATGTCATCTATGTCTGTAAACAGAAGGCGGTGGGGGGCTGGGAAAAAAAGCCAGAATTTCAGGAGCAGTTCTGTAGGATTGTCTGGTACTGTCTGCACAGTGACAGGCGTGTATCTTGTCGTGTTGTTTCTAGTAAGGAGCTGTGGCCTGTAATGGATAAGTGGATCAAATACAGGAAAGGCCATTCGAACATAGCGTACACTCCAGATGTTATTGTCGCCTCTGTGCTGAGACTGATCGGTAAGTTTCTGTTTGACTGCTTTTGCCACCCTTGTTCTTGTTAGGATTTGGTGAGGACCAAGACTACAACTCAGAGTGTTTATTGAGTACACTAAAGGCGCACATTGAGTACACCAAGAGCATGCATTGAGTACACTAAGAGCGCGCATTGAGTACACTAAGAGCATGCATTGAGTACACTAAGAGCGCGCATTGAGTACACTAAGAGCATGCATTGAGTACACCAAGAGCATGCATTGAGTACACTAAGAGCGCGCATTGAGTACACTAAGAGCATGCATTGAATACACCAAGAGCATGCATTAAGTACACCAAGAGCATGCATTGAGTACACTAAGAGTAGACAATGGCTTTGAAGTGCCCCTGACATGGCTGCAGTCACACTGTCAGATTGGTGGGTTTGTGCTTCACCACTCTCCTTACTCTTTCTCATCACACTAAGTCATCTAGTGTCTCTGTCACCACTCCATGGTAGTATGTTTGACTTATATAATTATAGAGGTGATGTCGACACGTGCCCAGAGGTTTATAAATTGCTACCAAGTGTGTGTAGTCTTGTTCTGTGTATAAAATATTGAGGATGTAGTGTGCAAAGGCACTAGCCGCCAAGCCTGAGCCATTTAGTCCTCGGGCCATAAGCTTGCATACCTTCCTCTAAGCTATCCCAATGATAGATGCCTAAGAAGGATCACTTCAGGTCATTAGAGAAATAAAAGTTGCTGTTGGAGAATGCTGTGAGATCCAGACTCTCCTTGCTGTAAACTGTAGAGAGGCCTTCCGATGACCCCTTGAAACTCCCAATTTTATTTTTACCTACTTTGTTCGTCTTTGCCTGACCTGTGGCAGCCTGCTGACCACTCTTTCCAGATCATCAGTAATGCTCTCTGTTCATTAAAAACCCTCATATTTTGTTTGACCTGTAGGTGCCTTCCTTCCATCTGAGAGACACAAACCAAAGCCTCCCTGGTTTGTTCAGAGAGCCCTTTGTCTAATTAAACTTCATAGGCAATACTGTTGAAAATAATGTTACCATTTGAAAATGTGCTGTGTAAATAAACCTTATAAGTATGTAGTGTAACGTCACTGTATCTACAAATGTGTTTCTTCCTCATGGACTCCATGCCCTAGTTATCAATGCCATGCTTAGAGCATGTATAAAACATGTAAGACAGAGACGTGACTGTGGGTGGGACCATACCTTCCTGGGAAATAAGTAGAACTATGTGTGCTTTATGTTACCTAGTAAGAGAACATGAGACGCAACAACAAAGACTAGGTAGTCACGAGCTCCGAATCAAAGGACAAACAGGCACAGGCTTGGTGATCCCAGGCATTGCACAGGGCACAGTCTCCGACTGCTTGCTGAGTTCCTTGGTTGGTGACTGTTCTCTCCTAGATCAGGAGGATGGTACTGAGAAGGGCCTGTGCTGACAAATGAGCCATCAGGTAGCGTGCATGTACCTGGGGCCAGTCCTGCTCATGGATTGGAGAGACTGCTCTGCTGTGGACTAACTGCTGGAAGTGGCGAACTTTTTGAGAGCTTACAGAAATAGGAAAGGGATTTAAGCTAGTCCGTGTGTGTTGACCTGGGTGGTTCACACAGAGGAGGAAGTGCATTTGCAGGTACATTAAGAGCAGGGATGCCACTTTTCCACTGTGTTGTATTTATAGAGCTCATATATGTTTATGGCAGTTCCCCTAGAATGTGACTTTCTGAAGCCACACTTTGTGTGTGCATGTGCACACCCAAGTGCGTAAGTGTGTATGTGTGCACCTCTGTGTACATATGCTTGTGGAGGTCAGAGGACACCTCATGTCTGGGGTGCCACCTACTTTGTGGGGTTTGTTTATTTTACTTTTGGGCTTTTAAGACATCTCTCACTGGACTGAAACTCACTAAATTATCCAGGGGTCCAGCACTGGGGTTACAATTTTGACATGAGTTTTGAGGATCGAACTGAGTCGTCTTCCCAACTTGAAGCCACACTTGAAAATGGGAATTTTGATGTTCTTGATACAGTGATTGTGTCCTGTATTTGTCCCTGCAGTGAGGGGGCACGCAGGTGGAGTGCTGCTCTCCGGTGGTTGGTGACCTGTGCCCCTGTGGTTCTCAGGGAAGGTGGAGAGCAGGTTCCGGTGCCTGTTACTCCTGCTGGTTCTGCACAGACTCCCAGGGAAGCTTGTCGTAGGAGATGTGAAAGTGCCACAACTGCTCTAAATAGCAAGCAGGCACTTTGGGTTAGATGTCACAAAATGCTTATAGCTACTTATATCATGTAAGCGCTTGCAATAAACATGCCTTATGGAAAGGCTAGTTCTCAAGTAAGTCAGGAAGAACATGCTGGAACTTTATATCAGAGGCAGATAAGGATAATTGTAGAGCCAAAACTCCATTTGTACTTTTGTGAAATTAAGGCTAGTTTATTTTTTAAATCTTAAGGTCTCTGGCTTTCAAGAGATAGACTGATTTGGAGTAATAAATATATTCTTAATTAATTAGTAATTACTACAATTGTTATGGACAAGAATAATTTTTTATTATTATTACATAGCTGCCAATGCCATATAAAGACAATACATAAATACATGATATGGACTTTGAAGGATGGATAGCCATCTTCGGTCCAGGTTGTGTTCTATAATGAAAAACAAGCTTTCTGTCAGTGTGTAACATGGTATAATACGGAATGAGCAATAAACGTGGCTGTTAGGCAGCAGCCGCATTCAGTTATTAAGTAGGATTTGCTCCAGCTCACCTTACAGTCTTGTGTTGGAGATGACCCAAGAAAGCGAGGAAGGGCCTGATGTGCTGTGGGGCTGCAGGTGTTTGGCAGAGGTGACGCCTGCACCGGTTGAGCCTTGGACAGAGCCACTGACTGAGGGTGACAGAGCCAGGGTAGAATTGTGGGTGAGAAGCAAGGAAAAAGTAGCAGCTTCACCTTGGAGTACCGGGCCAGCCCACTCTGGGGGAAGGTGTCCCCCTCAGTCAGTCGGTCATTTCAGGATAAACACCCTACAGACAGACGCACACAGATCTTACCTCTTGTTGATTCTAGAGCCAGTCAAATTGACAGCCACACTTAACCATTATTACTACATTTGTAACTAAAGATAATGAATGGTACTTCTGAGACAAAGCCAGTGGGCATGGATGGCATTGCCCAGACTCTTTCCTTAGATCCTCAGTAGGAAACAGCACACTCTCATCCTGTGCTCTGCATGTAGTGTGCTGTGTTGTTTGGTGTGAGCAAAAGAAGTGGCTCTTAGTGGGGCAGTGACACCTTAATACCAGTAGATCTTGAGTTTGAGGTCCAGGAAACAGCCAGCGGCTACACAGAGAGCCTCCCTCTCAAAGAAACAAAACAAAAAAGGAAGTGAGTCTTGTACAGAAATGTGATTGGTGAAAGTGAATACAGTTGCAGTAGCTGTTTTGATTTTGAGTATTTCTAGATGTCCCTCCTTGTTTTTCCTGAGATGGGGTCCTGTTGTGACCCTGTTGAAGTAGAGTCTTTAAAGCTATTTGTGAAACCTGAAAGCCACCCAACTAACATTCAAGGTAGAGAAACCCATTTGCCCACTTTAGTTTTGTGATCTGCAGTGTTCACCTGGGAAAGGGCAGGTTATGTCACCAATACCCAGAATACACATACAAGGTCATGCTTAGAGGGGAACGTAAGTGGTGGAGATCTCCCAGGCTAAGATGGCTGATGGAAGTTGTTGGTCCAAAGCTGCCATGTCACCCATGTCACCATTGCCCATGGCAGTAACTTCCTCAAGGTGCAGCTTTGTATAGAGAACTTAGCTCTCTCTACCAAGTGGCTGTGGTTTGTCAGTGAACATGGCATGTGACAGGGTGCCTGACTGCACTCAAAACTCTACTTTGGACACACTTTTCACAGCAACCTGTGTGCTTGGTGTGCTGTGTTTTGCATACACTCCTGTGACCTCCTATGTTACACATGTGTGCACCACCATCCAGGTTGCGAGTGAGTTGCTGTGCCCGCTCCTTCAAGCACATTTTCTAGTGAAGCTGGCATAAGTACTAGCTGGAAGGAATTGCCCTATCCAGTGAGATCCACAATGGCTATCTGGTGCTGACTTGGCTCCCTTGGGCCCTGTGGGTAGGAAGCACAGAGCCTCCTTGCATTGGTGACAGGTGTCATCAGGGCTGCCAGTGAGACCACAGCCTTCTCTGTTAACCCGGTAAAGTTACTTATCTCACATTTTGCCTGTGGTAACCACTATTTAAATTCCATTTCTTCATGCTACCTGTCTTAGTTAACAAAAGCAAGTTGGAGAGGAAAGGGTCTATTCTTTTTGCTTACGATCCCACATTGTGGTTCATCACTAAAGGGAGTCAGGACAGGAACCTAGAGGTAGGAGCCGCTGCAGAGGCCATGGAGGAGTGCTGTTTACTGCCTTCTTAGAGAACCCAGGACCACCAGTGGGAAACTCCCACATCAATTATCAATCAAGAATGTACCCTACAGGCCTGCCCACAGACCAGTCTTACGGAGGTATTTCCTCAATTGCATTCTCTCTTCTCCATGATTTAGCTTATGTCAGGTTGACATCTACCTAACAGCACGCCATGAATAGCAGGGAGCGCCATGCTGTGAGCTCTGTGGCCTCAGCTGTCTCACTGAACGTTGGCCTCCGCCACAGTCTAGGATCTTCAGGCTTAAACTTCACCATGTTAAATAAAAGAAAACATGGATTTGCCATTTCTTGGAAGCATTAATCAGAATTTACTGAAGCCTACTTTTACTGTGTTTTGTTTCTCCAGGTCGATTAGGCCAGTTGGGATTGAAGGAAGGGTTTCCAACTGCTGTAAAGAATATCAGCTCGGTTATTGGTATGTTCATACAGCATGCTCAGGATGAAGGTAAGACCATGGCTCTCATGTCCTGAGGACATGAGCCAGTGCCCCTCCAACTTGAACATCATGTGGTTTTGACTTTCATGGTGTGTTGTTTCTATGAGAGTCAGTTTGCCCTGTTGAGCAGTACTTCCTCCAAAGAAGGAACTCTGCTCCCAGGCCTGGTGCCCTGCCTGCCCCAGGAGGCATCTTGAGAATGACTTCCCACCTCTCACCCATGCATAAGCACAAAACGTCTGTTGCTGGTTGGTTTTTTTATACTCTTTTACTCTTGATCTTACTCTTGGGGGGGCCTGTCACCCAGCTGCCAGATAAGTCACACACAGAGACTTATTGTTTCTTATAAACACCCGGCCTTAGCTTGGCTTGCTTTTGCCAGCTTTTCTTAAATTATCAGGACTACCTTTTGCCTCTGGGCTTTTTCCTTTTCTTACTTCTGTTTATGTTACTTTCACTCTTACTCTGGCTGGCCCCTGACATCCTCCTCCCCTTGTTCTGTCTTGCTCCCTCTCTTCAGATTTCTCCTCCTATTTGTTCTCTCTGCCTACTAGCCTCGCCTATCCTTTCTCCTGCCTTGCTATTGGCCGTTCAGCTCTTTAACCTTCAGGTGTTTTAGACAGGCACAGTAACACAGCTTCACAGAGTTAAGCAAATGCAGCATAAACAAAAGCATTACATCTTTACATTGTTAAACAAATGTTCCAGAGCACAAACAAATGTAACACAAATTAATATTCCACAACAAACATCTGCTGTTTTGTTAGGTAGTTTGCCAGCTAGTTTTATGTCAACGTGGCATAAGCTAAGGTCACCTGACAGGCGGGAACTACAATTGAGAAAATGCCTGTGAGGCTTCTTGCTGGAGCTGTGTCCTCAGTGAAAACCAGCTCAACCGTGTGCGGTGAGGGCCCTGCAGCAGATGGGGCCCAGTATCTTAGCCATTTGCGGATTTCATAGTGTGAAATATGATGTCGTGCTCTTTTGTGGGGAAAGCATACTCATAGTAACACTTAGAATGATGGGTCTGGTTTGTTGAGCAGTCAATGATTGTGTAGTTAAACGGCTCCTCACTAGATATGCAGACTGACAGCACAGGGCTGATCCTGGAATGTGCCAGGCATGTGGACAACAGCCTGTAAGTGCTTACTCTGAGGCACTCTGACCGTATGGCAGTGTCTTTTGCTTCCATATGAAAATGCTCTTGACAACAGTTTGGGTATATCTTGTCATACAAAAAGCACTCAGGGTCATAGCTGATGAGTCGTCATGCTAACATGTGCAGCCTGGACTATGTAACCTGGAAGCTGTATATCGTGGGACATCACTGCATGCATCCTCGATTCCCTGGAGGTAGAAAGGCTCTGTCCTCATTCCATACTTTACATGCCGGAGGGAAGAGTCAGGAGCCAGCAGAGCCTGCCTGCCAGCCCTGTTAGTGCAGATCTGTGTGCTGCAACGTCTGGGAAGTCTCATAGGTCACATGTGCATGTTTAAGGCTGTTATGAATGCCTTTTTTATACCTCACTGAGACCTGGCCCCAAAGGGAGCCATATTGTGTTTTTCTTGAATCTTCAGACCAGGAAAGAAATCCTTTTAAAGCATCAGTTTAGACACATGGATTTCTCTGGTGTTTGCTTCCTGCTTTAAGAGCAGAGCCTTCCAGAACTGCCCTTGACAGAAAGTAAGCATCACCCCATTCCACGTCTAAGCACTGACAAAATACTATAGCTGTAAAGTTCTATGCCACCAAACTGGCTAATACATGAAATTATTAAAATGTTGTGCTATGTTACCTGTGCTGTGTATAGAAGGCATACAAGACTATAAACAGATGTCATGGTTAGACCCGAGGATGGCTAGATTTGTGAATGTACATGAAATTATTAAAGTACTGTGCCGCATTACCTGTGCTGTGTATGGAAGGCTAATGGACCGTAAATGAATGTCACTGTTAGACACAGGATAACTAGATCTGTGAGCTTGCATTTGAAAGAGGGACACTCATCCTGGAACTATACTTTGCCTTCTTTCCCTGCTTTGCTCATAGAAGATAGAAGATAGAAATGCATGGTTAATACTGAACTTTGGCTCCTAAATAGTTAAAATTTCAATCAATTACATTAAGTTATGAATTAATAAGTTATATTTTAAAAATTAAACTTTTGCCAAGATATAGGGATAGTGGCTGTATGACTAAACTAGCTCTGTCACACTGGCCTTGGGGTCACAATTGCCTTGGCCTCACACTGGTCTGGGGTCACATTGGCCTTAGACTCACACTGGCCATGGAGTCTCACTGTCCCGCAGTCACACTGGCCTTAGACTCACACTGGCCATGGAGTCTCACTGTCCCGCAGTCACACTGGCCTTAGAGCCATAATGGCCTGGAGTTACACTGGCCTTAGAGCCATAGTGTCTTGGAGTCACACTGGTCTGAAACCATGCTGGACTGAACTCATACTGGCCTTCAGTCACAATGGCCAGAATCACATTGGCCTTAGAGTCTTACTCGCCTTGGATTTCACACTGGCCTGGAGTCACATTGACACAAGAGTCACATTAGTGTAGTGTCACATTGGGCCTGGGTTCATACTGGCCCTGGATACACCCTGGTCTGGAGTGTGTTGCATTGGAATAAGAGTCACACTGACCTGGAGTCACACTGACTTTAGATTTCCATTGGCCTTGGAGTCATGCTGGCCTCATAGTCACACTGACCTTGAAGTTAGGCTGGCCTGGAGTCACACTGCTCTTACAGTCACGCTGGCCTGGAATCACACTGGCATGGGGTTTTACTGGCCTGGAGTTACACTGACCTTAGAGTCTCAGCAGCCTTGAATTACGCTGGCCTGGATTCACACTAGACTTAGGGTCACACTGGCCTTAGAGTCACACTGACCTTGCAGTCATACTGGCCTGGAGTTATGGTGCTCTGGATTCCTACTGGCTTAAAGTTATGCTGGTCTTAAAGTCACAGTAGCCTGGAGTCACACTGGTGTGGAGTCACACATCCCTGGAGTCATAGTGGCCTTAGATCACATTGGCCTTACCTTATAGTGGCCTTAGAGTCACACTGGCCTGGAGTTGCACTAGTCTGTAGTCACATTGGCCTAGAGTCACCCTGGCCTGGAGTTACACTGGCCTGGAACCACCCTGGCCCTGAGTCACTGTCTTATCTTCTGTCATTGTGGCACATGGATGGGCTTTTACTTATCTGTTTATCATGATTTTCATGTATGTCTGTGTCCATTTAGAGACAGTGCTGCGGATGTCTGAGTTTTGTGCTAGTAGGTTGTTTTGGAATTTATTTGCAGCTTCATGGGGACAGAGGAGCTCCAAAGTCCTTGTGACAGCCTTTGCTCAGATGTGCACGGAGTTCTTTTATTTTTCATTTTTATACAGATCTTAAATGAACTTTTTTATTGAGAGACATTCCGTTGCTGGCAGAAAATAGTCTGTGTCTCTGTGTCTGAGTAGAGTCCTCCAGGTCATGCTTGGAGAGTCGGAGAGTCTGAGAAACAGATATTTTCCTAGCTGCTGTGTTACAATGATGTGAAATTTCTTTTCAGATATCCCATGGGGTGTACAGCTTGCAGCTGTCTATGCCCTTTGTGACTTGAGTCCTAGCAATCCAATAGAGATATCCAAGATTCTGGAAGCTTGGCGGACACAGACTTCCAACACTATTCCATCAGCAATCGTCAACTGCCTGGAAGAGGTTGGCTCCTTGAGTGCTGAGGGCTCAGCTGGTTCCACGAGCACAGGAGAGTGTGCACCCTGAGAGCTGGGGGCTCAGCTCCCTGAGATGGGAAGGTCACCCGAAGGTTATGGTCATGGTCACTGTGCAGAGAAGTGTCTTGTCACCTTTTGTTGTAAAGGATTAACCTGCCTTCAGTTAACTGAGGTCCAACAGAGAAAAGCATAAAGCAGGTGACAGTACAAGGCTCACATTTGGACTGTGTACAGATGGCCAGTCTGAGGCAGCGGCAGAGTTCTGTGTGCTCTGTGCACAGGGGACAGCTCTATAAGCTCTGTGTACAGGGACATCTTGGTAACCTCTGTGCACAGGGACAGCTCTATAAGCTCTGTGTACAGGGACAGCTCCACGGGCTCTCTGCATAGGGACAGCTCTCTGGGCTCTGTGTACAGGGACAGCTCTGTGGGCTCCGTGTACAGGGACAGCTCTACTACAGGCTCCGTGTACAGGGACAGCTCTGAAGGCTCTGTGTACAGGGACAGTAATATAGAGTCTATGTACAGGGACAGCTCTGTGGGCTCTGCATGGGGACAGCCCTGTGGGGGTATGTGCATACAGACAGTGCTATCTATGATGTGTCTCACATTGGATGATATTCCTTTCGGAATTTTTGTATTTGTATATAGAAATGGGTTTAATAACTCACTGTGATTCCGATTTGTCTTATATCCATCATTTCTTAAACTCTTGTATGTGTTTTTATAATAAAAATAAAAGCAAGCCATGCACATTGTTGTTTCGATTAGTTATGTATGATACATGGTGTACCATCTCTAGTGGGGATTCAGATGTCTCCCCAATTGTGGAATCAAATGGTTCTCTGTAGGCTTTGTTGACCATTTATAATTGATGACTGTAAAATGACACGTGACAATGGTTCTGGTGACTCAACCTGCTTATTAATTGGCTTTCACAAACATGGATGAGCAGACTGTCCGTTCGGAAGCTCTTTTTAGTACCTCCTGCCTGTGCTGTGAACTGGAATGAGGTGCGCAATGTGCCTGTCGAGAGACATTTTCAGCACTCTGACCTGTGAATGAGAAGTCTCCTAAGTCATCACCCACTTGACCTGAGTGAGGAAAGTACCAAGAAGGGGGTACAGATGTCAGCATGAGATCTGTGGGTCACCCAAAGAGGTAAACTTAGAGGGACCCAGAAGGAGGGTGTCAGCCTAGAAGACGGAATGGTAGCATCCTTCCCTGTTCAGGAGAAGCCCCTGCTGAGTGCTACAAGACGCCTGGACCCAACTGCAAGTGACTGTCCATGAGATCCTGTTCTACAGCAGCCTACTGTGTACTTAGGACTGGACTGCAGGTCTTTTTGTGGGATGCTAGGCTCCGGAAGTCTGAGGGTAACTGTTCACTGGGCCTGCCCTAGGGTAAAAGGATGCAAGCAAGTGCAGAGAGAAGACAACTGACCGATGCACAACCGAGAGAGAGAGAGAGGGAGAGCATAGGATGCACAGAGAGGGTACGGGGTGAGGCACACAGACCTAGGCCTCAGAGGGGACAGGTACAAGGCACTATGGTGGCAATTCAGATGGTCAGGGTAGATGGGTTTCAAGCCTGGCCCAGTAGCAGGGACAATGTTCTGTTGCAGTGTCTGTGAGGACCAGGGTACTGAGCCACTAGGTTGAGTGGCCACGTATAGTTGCACAGGCTTGGTGGCGGGACTCACAAATGCATGCTTTCCATTTGCCTTGCAAACAAGATATCCAAGTGTTGGTGGCCTGGAGCCTCTATAAGCAAAACTGTATTAGGGATCAGGGCAGAAATTTGGGGATCGGTAGCTGATGGAGGCAAGTGCTAACTGGTTCACACATTACTCATAGCCCTCCACCTCCCTTCCCCTCCCCTTTCTCATCTTTCTGTTCATCTAGCATCCTCTAGGTCCTCCTGGGCGTAAGGTAGGACAGTGAGAGGAAGTAGTGTCCCTGTGCTGGGTAAGGAGTGAGGTGTCAATGGTGAGGTGACCTGTTGAGGTGGCAGAACAAGCAGGAAGTGAGGCCAAGGGCTCAAGCTTTGCATGTCTGGGGTGTCCAGTGGTTGAGTTAGTTCCTCTGTAAGTTTCCGCTGTCCAGTAGCATCAGCTGCGTGACTCACCTGCAAGGACATAGTGCCATGTGATGCTCTCAGAGTGAGGCAGCTTCCGGCTGACATTGATTCTTGGTGCGCAGCGGAAGGCTTTTGTCATCAGAGCTGAAAAGTGGAGCTGGGTGTTGCCACACAGGCTGGGTGTGCCTGCTGGACCTCTATGGTCAGGAGCAGAGCTGGCAGGAATAACATGGACATGGTACATATGTGCTTGGGGCTGTTATATGACTCAGTGAAGGTGGTCATTTTGTTGTTTTTGGCTTATTTTTCCCCCCTCTTTGTGATTTATATAAAAACAATAGTGTGGCTGTGCAGTTTATCAAATGCAGCTGTGGAATGGGAATGTTTTGAATTGTGGCCACTAGGGGGCGCTGCAGACCAGCCCGTGAGCAGAAAAGCCCTTTTCCACTCTAGGCTACTACTAGTTTGGCTGCCTGAGCCCATTTCCATAGTAGAAGGGGATGGATGTTCTGGAAACAGTTACAAATAATTTTAGCTGTTCAGCCAGATCTCTTTGGTGAGTTCTAAAAATAATAACAAAATAAAATACTTCAGGGTAAAAATAAGCATGTCCAGGTGGGTTAGTGGTTATGGCAGCGACCATGGTGGGCAGGGCATACGTGGCACTCTGGCCTGACCGATTAGCAGCACAAAGCCATCTAGCAGACGGGCTGCTCGTCAGTTTTTGACATGCACTCCTGTCTGTCATTTGAAGTGTGTGAATAGCTGTGATAAATGTGAGTTGTCCACTTGGCTCCTCAAGACAGAGAAGGGACAAAGATCTTAATGAGGCAGTTCTAGAATTGAATTTCTAGAGCCAGGGAGGAACTGGTGTGTAAGCCATTTCCTTCTACCTGTCTGACACTTACCCATGAGTGTGATTGTGAACCCCCTTCCCTGCCCTCCTAAACAAAACATTAACATGTTTTTATATCAAGGGATTGCCATCTTAACGTTGTCTGGTATGTTTGTATATTGAAGTCAGTTTGTTTCTCACTAGTGAATGGTCTCTAAGTGCAGGTGAAGACAGAATGTGAGCCTAAGGCCAGGGAGAGTTGTGTGACAGTGACAAATCTACAGCATTTGTGAAGGACTTTGTGCATTTGTGGAGGATGTTAGGTCTTCAGCAGGCTCGGCGGGGGTCACCCCTGGGTGTCTCGTCCTGGCATCTACCCGGTCTGCCCTGAGAGCCCCAACCACACATCACTTCCTGCTGGGAGCCCATGGGGCAACTAGACCTACCCTGAAGGCTGAAAGCTGTGAAGATCTCTGGGGAGGTCCAGTGGAGACATCATATTCAATGAGACTGGAGCAGCAGGTGCTGAAGGCGAACATGGCAGTGTCAACAAAGGACACTTAGCATCACCCAGCAGCTGATGCTAAACCAGCTCAGAAACGACTGGCCATTTTCCCTCTCAATGGGAGGAAGACAGGGACATTCACCATTCAACATTGTTCTGGAATCCCTAGCCAGAGGACTCACTCAGATTGGCAAAAGAAGGAAGTAGCAGTGAGCTTGGAAAAGAGGAAGGTCATTGTCATAGTTAATAATGTGACCCTAAATAGGGACCCCTCCAAAAAAGAAAATAGCATTCAAAATTCAGTAGTATTGCCTTTAACAACTATATGATCTCTGAAACAAAACAAATCAGGACAAATATCATTTACAATTGCCACAAATAAATAAATAAATAAATAAGAAAAAGGAAGGAAGGTTGGAAGGTTGGTGGATACAGATTGGAAGGCTGCCCCTTGTTCACAGGCTCCAAGAAACACTATTGTAGAAACCTCTCGAGTCCACTGCAATCTAAATCAGATGTGACAGTCTTCACAGAACTATACAAACACTAGTCTGAACTCTGCATTGAACCACAGAAAAGCCCCAGATAGGAAGCATTCAGAGCCCAAAGAACAATGTGTAAGGGTTTTTTGCTGCCTGAACCTAAAACCCTACAAACCTATGGTATTCACAACCTGATACTGGTGTAAGAACAGACTCAGCGGATTGGTGAGACACCACAATCAAGAGCCCACACTGAATCAACATCCACATAGTTATGAAAGAGTGTGTGGTGGGGGAGAGATGTCAACCCAGTGTGTTGTGGATTGGATATCCGTGTTTCAGTAGTAACAAAAAGAGTTGGAAGCCACATGACGAGACAAGCTATTCAAGGGAAACTTCGGGAGAGTAATTCAGGGTACTGGAATAGATGGGGATCTTGGTGGCCTAGTGTTTTTTTTTTTTTTTTTTTTTTTTTTTTTTTTCAGATCTCAAAAGCATAGGCAAAAAAGCAAAATTAGATAATGGGGATCACAGCAAACTAGGAAGCTACTCAGCAATGAAACAGCCTGATGAAACAATCAACAGAACAGAAGGCATCACCTACAGAGAGTACATCAATGCAGGCTAATGCGGGGAGCATACATGAAAGTAAATAGGAGAAGATTAGGAATAGTGGATTCATTTCTTTTCCCATCACCAGGATAAAAACACTGGACAAGAAGCAATGTTTCAGCTGGCAAGCCTAAAGGAAAAGTCCACCACGGTGGACTTGCATCCGCACTGTTCATCCACAGTCAGGAAGCAAAGGATGCTCAGTTCACATTTTCCCTGTTACTTACTCTGAGGCCCCAGCTGGCAGAAGTGGTACCAACCACATTTAGACTGTCTTTCCCTCTCAGCTAACGTCATTAATCTAGATCCCTCATAGACACGCCTAGAGATCTGTTTCCATGGTGACTCTGAATCCCATCAAATGGACAATCAAGATTAATCATCACACCCATTAAAAAATGGGCAAGTCGCCTAAACAAATGTCTCTCAGAAGACATAGGAATGTCTGGTAGATACACGATAAAATGCTAGCTACTGATCACCAGAAAAATGTAGTTCGAAGTCACAGGAAACTACCCATCTCTCCATCCCGATAAGTGTGTCTGTTGCCAGTGAAATGGGGTAATAGGGCCATTGAGGATGGCCAAGAGAGAATCCTGCCACAAATACTTGGAATTTATACTCCAATGAGTAGGGTTTTATGTTCAGGCAGCACAAAACCTTATACATTGTTCTTTATGCTCTGAATGCTTCCTATCTGAAGCTTTCTGTGGTTCTATGCTAGCTGTTAATGCCATTGAGAGCAGTTGATGACCTCTCCCAGTGGGCTGGTCACCAAGGGATCCCTTAGGAAAACCAAATACGACTTTAAAGTGGAATCACATGCCTTAGGAGACAAGTTTGTCGAAGACACAAGTGTATGCTGTGGTGTGCTTGCTGCAGAGCCACCTGCATGGTGGCTGCTGTGTATCTCCCACAGAATGGAGATTGCAAGGTGTGGCTTAAGCAAAAAGTATCCATTTGGAATGTGTGTAACAGGCATGCGGGAAATCTGCTGAGGAAACCTGCCCTTGAGCCAAACACAGAGTCATGGAGCAGTCCTTCCTCAGCCCTTTCTGGTTTGCATTTGTAGAGGCTGGCCTTCAACCCTTGTCACATAGGCCATTATCCAGAGTCCTATTTCAAGTGCATTTTGGTTTGTGAAACTTGTTTGGTGATGAGAAAATAAATTTTCTGGGTTGTGATACAATCTTGTGTAACTAACTTTAATATATTTCTGAGAATTGTA